GTTTTACTTAACAATACTGGAAATTGTATATCCGACCATATCTCTTTTGTAGTATTTCTTGACGGATATTTTTGATTTTTTATAGCAAAGTTTCTGTAAAGTAAATATTTAGTACTAGTAAAAGCTTTTTACAGCATCACTTTACAATTAGAAGTAAACATTTTTCAGCATATCAACATACCTCCAAAGAGACAGTCAAGTAGGACACGAGCAGCCCTACTCACTACTTCTTGGCCAGGAAAGAAAAGACGGTTAGAAGCAGACCTAGTCAGCACTATATCATCGAATTAAGATAATTAGGGAAATAAAGACAATTGTAATATGCATTGTCCTTCGGCACTGAACCAAATAAAGGTAAGGAACAAATAGGGACAAACAGGATTTGTCAGGACAGCAATGCAAACAGAAGTTCTCATTGATGCCAAGATTAGGTCTAATTAGACAAACAGAAGAAGGTTAAATTCTGCAAGTAGAGAATAGTAATATTCAATGAAGTTAAGCATTCATCAAGTTGAAAATGATGCTGAAAAAACTCAAATGTTTCTTCTATGAATGACTGGACTACTATAACAACTTTGAGCAGTTTCGCAACAATCTTTTGTGTAAAATATCCTAAACAGCAAGCAAAATAAAACCAAGCATCTAGAGGCAGTAAGAGATATTCCTGATACCAAAGGTAATTGGAAAAATTAGTATGCAGAACTTAGTCTGCTTGTAGCATAAGGACGTGGCATGGTTACATGTACATGGAATTGTATGTAAATGCTAGACTCAAGACGGGACTATTGACAAAAGTGAAAAGGGAAAATAAGGACAATCCCAAAAGGGGCTTATTTTTAACATCATGCAGTTAAGCATTGTCGCGCAAGTTTATCCTGTCGCTTCAAACACATAAGTGTTGTAACTGTGGAAGCTGCCACCTATTTATTCACTGTAAAAAACAAACAATGCATTACTTTCGTTTCTTTTAAAAAATTTTACCACCAAACAATTAAAACAAACAAAAAAGTATACCAACTCTTCAAAACAAAGGGATGGCACCTGCAAAAGTACGTAGACTGGCTGAATGGTGGACCAGTTATGATAAAGATGAATCCAAATATCTCACAAACGTTTTTTTCTAATGGATTTTTTTCGGTCTTATTGTGAATAACCCTGGTATTGAATAAAAAAAAATGATTTCTGCTTTTCAAAACCTCGCTTACAATTCGTGAGATACAAAAGGAACTTTTTGGCTGGAATGGTTTATGAACCTTTTGAAATCAAACAAATATCTGATTTACATTGCTCCCTTTTAGGCTTAGCTGAAAAGAAAGAACTTGGGGTATGCAAAATGATTTATCATCTATCATTTCTGTAAAACAAATCCACTAAAGAAGGGATTCCACGGAATGAGTCATTTGTTCAAGACTCATCTGTTTCAGATGCTATTCAATTAATTAAAGAATGCAGGAAATGTGTATACTGCTGTAAGTCAAAGTCGGCATTTAGAACTAACAATATATATCAGCCACAATTTAAGTATCTTGTGTTCAAGTGGAATTATAGATACATGTATTATGGACTCAAGCAAGCAATTTCGTCTTAGTTCCTCTTGTAGAATATTTGAAAGGTTCTCAACAACATTTCAATGGATAGCACAGAATAAATTGAAAATATCATGTATATCCCCTGTTTTAGATAATTTTATAATAGCTAATAAATTAGCTACTGGGTGTTAACAGCTGAAGGCATTCTAGGATATGATGATGGGTATAGGGGTCCCAATATCACTCGAATAAAATGTGGCCCAAGCCAGACCATGGCTTACTTTAGATGTAAATCAGATTCATTTAAAATGGAATCTAGGCGATCAGAAGATAAGATTGTTGTGTTATGAACATTGCATCATTCTACAACAACAAAAGAATTTCAGTCATTGATAGGTTTATTGAATGTAATGTAGTGTTCCCATGCTTTTTTTTCTAAGGACACTTATAGACTTGACCGTTGAAACTAACAACACTTCAAAATTATATTGACTAAATTGGCTGAGTTAACTTTTAAATTACAATGAATCTACCATGTTTTGTTTGATAGGTGGTTACATTCTGCTGAAATAAATTAAACTGAGCATCAAGCGCTACTGGATATTCTGCATGTCTTGGTATTGTTTCTTTCTAGCAAACTGGGACAGTAGTTGGAGATATTAAGATATAGCTGTTTAATTGTATAATATTTTTTCAATTGTATCATATAGTACTTGCTTTTCAAACTTGGTCAAAATACATTGCTATAAATGCATTTTGTTTAGAACTGAAAAAGAATAATTGGTTCATGTAAATAATAAGCAAACAGCTAAGAAAAAAAACACATTTTTTTGTTGTTGAGGAAACTACCGTTAACCTGTCTAGATCTATAATTTAATATTTACTTTCGAGGATAACATTTGTCAAGCAAAGAAATTTGCTATATGACTATCTTTCTCGTTCAAAGGTACAAGAATTCCTACAACTGGCTACTTGGGCAGACAAACATCCAATAGAGATACCTTCTTTTCTGCTTTTTCCAACTTGATTGTCAGTAAGGTGAGATTACCAATTCTGTACATTTCATCTGACATTACCTTCTCTTTTACTGATGCATACAACATTTTATGATAAGTTTTATTATTTAAAAAAATAATAAATAAAAACCTTCCTGTCGTACATATGGTGAAAGAATTGTGAAAGACATTCAACCTGTGCAAGAACATGTGTTTATGACACAAAATGACATTGACATAATTTTGAAACCTTGGATAATCAATGTCAACAGTCGTGACGTAACTTTTTTTTGATAAATTCAGTCCAGGGAATATAATTATCTCTGACTTGGATATTATTTTCTAAAGGTACCTTTGTGGCGCTATTATTCCTCTGGTAGAAGTAGGACATATGTTTATACCTACTAATGTTCTGACATGAGTAGACTTACTTTGCAAAATATTTGAAAGACAAGGAGGGCATATCTTTATCTCTGTTTGGTATTTATCATCTAATTGTACATTTATGACATTTTGTTTCATTTGGTACAAGGTAGGATAAATGTTAATTCCTACTCATTAATCAGTATGTGTGGACCAATTATGCAAACATTAAAAAAGGACAAGCAGAATATATGTTTAGTTTATGTCAGCTGTCTGAAAGGAGATTATTCCTTTTACAATTTCTTTCTTACTTTCACAGGTATACCTGCACCTATTATTCAGTCCCCCTTTTCATCCTTTTTCTCACCGTTCATGGGCTCAGTCGGTAGAGCGCTCGCTCCGTGATCGGGAGGTCGTGATTTCGAATCCCGCGACTGCTAAGTCGATAAAAAATGGGTAGCAACTGTTCCTTTGCCATGCGCTCGGCACTTTAAAGTGAAAGTTGCGAGTCCTCGGATGAGACCTTAAAAACCGATGCCCCGTGTTACGGCAGGTGTTGGCACGATAAAGATCCCTCACTGCTTAATGACCCGGAGTGCCGAGTAAAGGTCACAATTTAGAGCCCTTCACCTGTATATGGTGACGTCTCTATATGAGTGAAAAAATTCTCGAATGGGACGTAAAACAATATAGTATCAATCAATCAATCATCCTTTTTCTTGAGGTCTGAACTTGATTAAATTTAATTAGCAAGTATGAATTTACACAAGTACATGGCAGTTTCAGACCACAAAAAGAATATATTATACACGTATATGCATATGTAATCATTTACAAAATATATTATGTAATCAATGTCTAGTCATCAATCATATTCACAATTCAGCTTCATTTTCTTTAATATTTTTAGACAGATAATAGTGATAAATTAATAATTTTATGGATTTTAAAAAGGAGCTATGAATTATAAGCTGTCAATTAACTTTTTTATTACATGCAAATAAAAAATAAAAGAAATTCAAAATAAATGCTTAATTTCAAATACACGTTAAACACTTCCCTTTTGAAAAAATTGACGAGGCTTTGAAAATTGACGCTGCATAAAGTGCTCTTATGTGCTCTTAAATACTGAAACTGATGAACAATTCAGTTCATATGAACCTGCACATTTGCAGCTCTGTTCTGCAGCAAGTCAAATAATAAAGAGGGTGTGTGTGTATAGAGCATTTATTACAAATGCCAAATGAGATTACAAATTTTACAATTTCAGAATGCAGCAGAAGGTGGGTCCCAAAAAATATCCCACACCTTATACAAAAGAAAACTAGTACATGTATTTTTCTACAACAATAACAATATGTATGGAGGATTGAAGGAGTGGAGGTGGGTAAAATTTGTAAACCACCTTTTCGGAGCCAAACGTTATTTTGATAAGGATGAAGCTAATAGGCGTTACTAGATGGCGCTTAAATATAAAACCCGGAAAAAACCCTCAAGAAACATAAATTCATACAAAATAGTGATAAATAAAAATAACACAATCTTGTATGTATTTAGATCACATAAATTCATTTATATACATAAATACACTTTTTAACCTGGATCCTTTGCGTAAGCTATGCACCGGCTTACGGGATTGCCGATCTGAGCGGATTAATCACCGGATGGTAACCCAACAACCACCAATATAAGTATTACGCTTTTCAAAATAAACCAGTTCCCGTTCTCAAAAAATTCAGAATCAGGATAGTGACAAACTCTATAGAAAAATTGAAATGAAAGTAATGCGCACTTGTAAGTATGTCAAGCAGCCGACCTTGTTGGGTAAATGTTGCGATGTTTAGCACATTAAATTAAATTTAAAAAAAAAAATAAAAGGTAAAATAATCAAATATGAATAAAAATAAATTGTACAACTCAAAAACATCTTATCAGAATTGACAATACATGAAAGATAAAACATGTTATTTTTGCTGTTTCTGTACTGTTTAATGGACTGTTCGTTATCTCCATATATTTCATTGCTTAGGAATAGGTCTTGAATTTAATTGTAATTTGAAAAATAATTTTAATATTAGATAAATACTTAATATAAAGATTTCTACAAACTCAAAGTGCGACAAAATATATTCCTGAACAGCTAAAATAATACACTATAATAGAAAGGATATATACATTATAAATATATCTTAAAAGTACAATTATAATACTGCATGCCATATGTAGAAAGGACCCTATGTGCATAATGCATTTCAGTAAAAGATTAAAGCATGTAATATGAACTGTGACGATGACGCAGTGCTACGTGGAAATTATACAGTTTTCAAATGAAAATGAACAAACTACATAAATGTCGTCATAAACATTATGCTATTTTTTCATTTTCTTTCGAAAGAAGAAGGTGAACTGCTTACTAGTTTTTTCAGTGATCTTACTTACAAATATAACCGTTCATGAATGTTATCCTATATTTAATGTACAAACAAGGACAATTGCAGAGCTGAAGAATTTTAAATAAATTTTGAAAAAATAAGTAAATTTCATTAAAGAAGGTTTGTTATCGTTAACATTCCTGTCTACCGTTTTCAAGATTTCCTAACATTTAATATGAAAATATTGCTTTTTTGACAACGTTTCATTCAAACTTTGTCTCCGTTTCTTTTGGTGACTTCTCAGACAGCATCAAGCAAATCTAAAATTTAAAAAGTATTATAATGAATACAACTTGTTCACCCGTCTCAACGAGGAGTTTGATTATGAGAGTTAAATTTTACCTTTTCATGTGGAGCAACACATGAGTAATCAGTGCACTCGGTTTTCTCGGTCAACAACGAGTCTGATTTTACTGCTTTTTTGGTTTTTGATATCTGCTTGTCGGAAGATGTTTCAAAAATGGATAGTATTCCTTTTTTCTGCATTAAGAGAAAACATAAATGAAAACGTAATTGAAGTTTTGTTTTCAAAAAGGACACAATACTATTCATATCGATGATTTTATTAAGAGCCATATTAACAGTGGTTTTCACTTATCATGAAAAGGAGCACACTGCTTGTGTGACAGGGGATGCTTACTCCTCCATGGCACTGCTCCCAATTTGTATTTTTCGAATAGAATTAATTACTGTATGTTCATATTTCATCACAAATTCCCTCAAAACATTGTTATAGCCTTAAAGCTCTCTTTGAAATATACTTTCTTGATATTATGGAAAATTGGTTCCTGCAAAGACATCTGGTCTTTCAGTTGGAAAAAGCTAATGTAACTAATTTGCAGTGTTACAATGGAAACATTTCCATTTTGATTTCCATTTCATTTTAACATCTTACATTTTCTATTGTTTTAAGTCTTTTGAGAAAATCAATATGAGAGTAAATACATGGAAAATAAACTCAATGACTTAATCAAGGTTAAATAGTTATACAAATAGCATTGTTGCAATGGAACCATGAAACTTAAGGAAAAAATAAACTTTATTTAGAGGTTGATGTAAACAAAACAACTATGGTTCTTTGAAAGAATTTGGTACCCATGGGAATTCTGACAGATTGTTGGAAAACCTGGTCTCCAGAAGTTATAGAATCATAGCAGTGGGTGGAGCATAAGAGGTTTGATTGATTGTCACTCTCGGGCGAAAGCATTCTCGGGTGTTAACCCTACCTAGATCTGACAATTTGTGATTTCTCCCTTCTAACAGTCCATAATTGAATAATATCTAATCATGAATTGGGCATAGTGTATACATATTTCAAATTATTATTATGAACTTTGAATAGCAAACTGTCTCCTGAATCACTGAAATCTCCATTCTAAAGATTAAAGAAATGCATTTGTGCAGAATAGATCTGGATAAATAAATGAATAGATCTAATAGTCTTTGCGTGTAATGTATACTTTTAAAGACAAAAATGATAGAGTATATACCTGTTATCCTGGTAATAAAGAAACCTGATTTTTGAAATAATTTCAATATATCTTTCAGCCTTAATCATGTGGTTTCCCCATAATGTAGTAAAACGTCATTCCTACACATGTTGTCATTTACAGTTTTTGCTTCTAAATGCAAAAATAATAGAGTATATCCCTGTTACCATGGTAATAAAGAAATCTGATTTTTAAAATCAATTCTCAGATATTTTTCAACCTTAATCAAGTGTTTTTCCCGTAATTTAGTAAAAAGGTCATTCCTACATATGTTGTCATTTATAATTACAGATTTTGTCCCTGGACATAGCGAGTCTTGGGAAACAGGATGGCTAATGATCCCAATACACTTTTCTGTTTATGGAACGAGCGATTTTAGAAAACTTAAAAGTTTAAATGGTTTAAGTTCGAAGGCCTACTTATGCATAAAGGTGGAATAGAATCCGTGATCATGCGTGCCAGAAGAAAGTGAAGTTCTTACAGAACATGGCTCTTAATAATCATCATAATACTAGTTATTTATGTAAATATTATTATACTGTTAAAGTAAGCACGTTTTAACTGTCAAAAATTAGCAAACATTGCCTTGGATTTCACCATGGGACGATCAGATGCAGACGACTGTGTCCGTGATACAGCGGTTGGTTCCTTTTTGCGTGACTCAGTAAACATACTTAGTCCACTCAGGGAAGGATACTGTGTCTTGAGACCTTTAATTAGCTTTTCATAAAGTTAAAATATTGAACATATTAAATGAATAAAACGTAGCAAACAAGAAATCAAAACAAACATAATTGAACAAAATTTCTTCAAAAACAAAAGTCTTATGGCCTCAACAACACTCAGCAGAGTAACCTTGGTCTAATTCTTTTTATTCAAAAAGATTTTTTTAAAGAGTTTTACTTATATATTCCATTCAATGGTCAAAACCTACACTGCTTGAGCTTTGTTGGACAGGATACGGTGTTTTCTTACATAAATAGATGCATCGTGAAAATATTGTTTTCCAATTTAATCTTCATCCGAACCAAATGGATCATTATTTAAAAAGATTTCAGAGCACCGGGGGTCATAATTTGAATAAATGTTGACTCTGTGTTTAATCGGGTTGCTACATTTACATGTTTCAATGTAGGTATTGCTGTTTCTGCGTTATAAGAGGGCTTTTGAAATAATTTCCCTATATGTTATTTGATAATACATGTATTCGATTTTTTTTGTGCCCAAGCCAACACCTGAATCAAAACTTGAATAAGAAGGAATATGCATTATTATAATACTTTCAGGAAATGCATGTAGAATAAAATGATTTATGCTTTGTAGAGCTGTAGTTCTCTTCAAAATTCCATGACAAATTTTAATGACCTCTTGTGACCCCACCTAACCCATTTTGGAATGTGACAAACAAGATTGAAACTAAACTACTCGATTATGCGTTATTATTTTATTGCTTAATTATGGCCCTAATATTATTAAGAGGACGAATAAAAAAATCAATATATTCTTGTGTATCCTTTCAATCCCCTATTTTGACTCTATCCTAGTCGCGGGGCCTACGACTTGAAATGAGATTGATTACTGTTCATTATTTTTACCTTTTATAAACATTTATACATAAAAGCAAATGCTTTCATACAAATTCAGTCTTTTCTGGCCCGGTAGATTTTGAAAGAATTTTATAAAATTATTATACCAGTCCTATTTTCATTATTTTTCTATTATTTCAATTGACTTGGGACCCGACTATTTAATTAAACGATACCTAAGGTAGTCCGATCCTCAGGTTCAGAAAATCAGTTTTTTGTCTCGGATTTCACAAAATAACGTGTATTTACCAATGATATTTCTTCAAAGTTCATCAGTAAAGCTAATCATATTATATAGGGAAAATTATAAAATCTCAAATGTATTTTAAGTAAATGCGAATAAAAGCATCAGCTACAGATTTTCCAAATGAAAACTTATCAACAAATATATTTTTGATTCAAAATTACAGGTATCCAGGTATTTGGATAAAATTGCATGTTTTGAACATGTTTTATATACAGTATTTTAGTTTTTCTGTTTACTTCAATTGTTATAAAATACGTAGTATAAAAGTTTATGTTGTTATTGCAAGACATCCCAGATCACTTCTAATGTCATATCTTGCTAAAAAGCATTGGGATCTTATGCTAGATTAAAGGAAATTTGATTTCTCTAAAAATGAATTCATTTTTGTACTTTTGTAGGGTTCATATATCAACTTTTTATAATATCATTTTAAAGACTTCAAACAGCCTTGAATCATATTGAGATGCATAAAATAAAAATTGTTGCAAGAAAATATTTCAATTTCAAGCTTCATTCTGAGACTTTTTAAATTAAATAAAAGATTTAGGAATTGTTGTTCCTATCCGAGGTTCGGATATCCTTAATATGCATATTACATACATGTGAGATCAAGGAAATTGAAGTTGATCTTAAAGAGAAGACAATAAAATGATACCGATAAAATGAAATAAAACAACAGACAAAAGACTTACCTTTTTATTTAACACTACATGCGAGAAAAATATGAAAAAGCCCTGAAAAGGTAATTATAGTTTTAGAATTTTGTGAATTGCTAGATTATTAATATTGTTACCTTTTGTGCATTTAAGATTAAATTTGCTGTCCTAATTCGTAAAAATTGTTAAACGCAGAAAAGCAAATTTATCAGTTTTATTACATTGTATTGAAATGAAAGTATAGAGAAAGTGCTTTTTATTATCATTTTTATTTTTTACATTAAAAGCATATTTTCGAAAAAAAAAAAAAAAAAAAAAAAAAAAAAAAACGAAAGTGGAACGAAATTTCACACACAATTACAATTGACATTACAATTGACATTTTTCGTCAAAAAACACCTGTAAAGAATTGGCGATGATGAAAATAAACTGGAATACTTCTGCTCTTTCGTTAAATGCCATAACTCCAAATATCCAGGTAACTCCTAAAACTGGTACAAGTGTACCAAGAGACCGCAATCCTGACCTATTTATGTGATACAAAATTTTTAAAAAAGATAGAATTTCATTTCGTGTGTTTGTCTTTGATCAAAAACATCTCATTTTCTGCATATCATTATTATTTTTTCTTTATCGTTTATTTTTTTTTTATTCCTGAAGAATTTTCTTTTTGATTAAAGACATACATGTATGAACACTGGTATTCAATTTAAAAAAGCCTAATCTTTGTATGAAATCTAAACATAAGTTAAGTTAAATACTTACGCAGCCTTTTTATGAAGTGATGACTTTAACATTGTAGATGTTGCAAACAAGACGCGAATTAAGGATACAATTATTAGTATATTTACCTGAAATTTTAATCAATGATAAGTAAACAATTGTCTAAATATATACGGAGGCAATTTTCTTCTATCAAAGTTAACAATAATGTATATATAAAATTCTTTTTCAGCTTAACATTGCAGGAAACTGGTTGGATTCTGTTCAAAACACACTATATGAACATAAAATACATGTAACCGAGGAGAAAATGTCCTCTCAAATAAATGGATGCTTTTCTCTCTCATACACATTACTTTTCGGAACAAATTGGACTTTTCTGCTATTTTCCTACATTACACCTAGTGTTGACCTTTAAGGACCCGCCTCTTTTTTTTTTTTTTTTTTTTTAGCTTAAAGGGGACGTGAACAAACTTGCATTGATGTTTCGTTAACGGTTTTTAATATTTTTATTTTATTTAAAGATAACTTCAGTAGAATTATTTGAATTTATAAGAAAGGTCTTAATATTCAAAGACAGCATCATTCTTCATTATCTTACTTTAAAACATCTGTTTTTGTAAACGTTAGCTCTAGCTCTGTCTTTGTTGATGATTACATTTTACCGGTGTGTTCGATTTGCTATTACTGGATATCATTAAAAACACACTGACAGCACTGATGTGTTGATTTGCTTTCTTACATTTCTGTTCTGATTTTTCTTGATTACAGTTTTCATATCTTTTATAAATGCACCATAGGTTTCCCATTTTCTTTAAATATTAAAGATAAATTTTGAAACATGAACGCGAAATGATGTTTGATAATCAAATACGTCTGAAATGTGTAATTTTAATTAGTTTCATTAAAAATATTTCTGAATGTGATATTACAATATATTGCTCTGAAAACACTCTTACAACATATAATCCATGAAATTCTACCGAGAACTTTGAACCAAATAAACCTGAAAACTGTCAATGCGCCTTCAAAATATCCAAATATACATGCAACATCCTGACCTTAGTACGTTTTCAGTAAGTAATTCGTACATACCATGGCAATTACGCAAACTGGGACGACAAATAGATAAAGAGATCCACTTTCCATGGAGAGCCAGCAGCTACGAGAAAATATTAATGTGTACATTTTATGCATTGATATACAGCATGTGACGTCCATATTATGTACAACTAAATTTTAAAAAATGTGAATTTGAATGTCAATTTTGTACAAGTTCTTTTGGTGTATAATACATACATATATATACAGTTTAAATAATTCAATTTTAATAGTGACAATGATTATATTTTGAGATTGTGAATGATTGGAACCAACTTTCATGATAAAATAGGTAGCTACCCTTTTATACTCGTAGGTATGTAATAAACAAAACTTATATATTTATATTAGCAAAATAGAATAAAAGAGGTGACAACAATAATTGACAGCTATGATTTTACATGCAACATACTAGTTTTCAAGGTGGTATTTTTTTCCCCAGAATGCCCCTAACGTTGAAGACGCAATGATGAATGGAATGCCTGAAATTAAATAATTGGAATTTACATAACATATAATCTTTTAAGTTTTCCAAAGATATGTTGAGTTAAGTATAAGCTCATCTTAACAACATAACTACCCAACGCCCTTGGTTTCTTGACCCTATTTTCAAAATCACATTAAATACGGAGATAACGAACAGCATTCAAGCTCAAAAGACCAATCAAACAATACAAATCAGGAGTAGACCAAACGCAGACCTTTAAATCATCAGAGGTGGGATCAGGTGCCTAATCTCAGTCTTTAATACTTTTAGCATACCAGTCAACCAAGGTGAGTTTGATCTTTCCTACTTCATAAAATTCCTTACAAATATAGATACATTGCCGGGTCCAGCAAGTGCTCTACCAAACCCCGTGTCTTCACTCCTTAAAAAGATATTAACTGCTATAAAGAAGAAACTCTTGTACTGTGATACAGCATATTCTAGAAGAAGTGGAAATCAAATGTGGATTGTTACAAAACCCAAAGAACTTTAGAAAATTTACAATGACAATATCTTTCAAAATTAGTATCATCAAAACGTATGGCTTTTCTACACTTCATACAACCATGCCTCACGGTAACTTGAAAACTTGGCTTTTCTGATATCATAGATAAATGCTTGTTCAATAAAATTCAAACTCGGAAATTTTCATATTTTGTGATTGGTCATTAACAAAATTACTTTGTTAAAATTTACTCTGACTCTAAACGCAAGTACTCTGAAGTTGATATTAAAAGGATGCCGGAGTTCCCCATGTAGTCTTCGGAGACTAGGTCTTCCATCTTAGATGGGGTCTAATTATGCTCTTTAATTAGCAGACCTTGTTTTATATTCCTATGCTTTGAATCAGAATTTATTTCAATTTCGTCTACATTAGAAGAAGAAAACACTTTTGCCTTCAACTCTACATTCAGATATATCGACGACGCCTTATCAATTAACAATAGTTACTTCCATTCATGCATCGACTCGATATATCAAAGAGAACACGAAATAGAAGACACCTTAGTGTCTGCCACAGCTGTTTCATATTTGGATGTTTTATTGATTATAGACAATAAGTGCTATCAAACAATAAACTGTATAACAAACGATATGACATGACTTCGATTTCAGCTTTTCCATCGTCAACTTTTCTAATGTAGTAAGGTTCCGCTATAACCTGCGTGTGGTGTTTACGTCTCTCAACGTATTTAATACTCAGGAACATGATCTGAGTGTGATCAATTTTTACACCGATGCAGGCTCTTGACAGATAATTTGATGTTGCCGGGATTTCAAACACCTCATTTAAGGGAGCCGACTGGGGTTTTATTGTGTGAAAACTACTATAGAGAAACTCTTTAATTTTATACCATATGTACCTTACATTGACTTCAGTACACATGCCAAGTTTAGTGAAAATCTACCGTCTGGTTATATGTTAGGGACCATCTCAAAATACAGGTGCATTTACTATAGGATTATATAGGAAAATACCATTTTTTCGCACTTCTGAGCAAATTATACAAATGCTACTAAAGACTTTTTGCTCAAATTATATTATTTGATAAGTAATACTATATTGTACATTTTATGCAAGAAACACAAAATTCTACCGTGGTTTCCAGAGGGGACATCTCAAAATGTCAAAATTCATGATATTTTCCTGTTTTTATGGAGTACAACAAAACATGGCAGATACCACAGATTTACATAAAAAATAATCAAAATGATTGTGAGATTCTCAATTTCCTATATTTAAAATTTCAAGAGCCTATATCTTATACTTTTTATTTTATGGCATAATTAATGACCCCGCTTAAAAAACACACTATTACGACGTCTATCTACCCATCATTTGAAAAATCGTTAAAAAAAAATCGGTTATTAAAAAACGTAATTAGATTTTTTAACCTGGGATTTCCTAAAATTGTTAATTTTTTTATAAATTATGTAAAAATAGTTGCTTTAAAATAGTAAATACGCTTTATTTTACTATGCTGCGCGAAGTATTGCGCACTGAAAACCCCAGTCGGCCCCCTTAAAGTCAGAATTTTGTAATTTCTATGGTTGTTATGTTGACCTTGTTAGAAAAATTAAACCCAACAATGGGACTTATTTTGGCTGACATATTTCATACCAATTGTTTAGCCTTTGTTTTTATGCTAAATATCACTACAGAATATTCCGTCTACCTGATCAATACACAGGGCTCACGGTGGGTGTGACCAGTCTACTGGGTGTACGTACATGTACTCCTCCTAGGCACCTGATCCCACCTCTGGATTTTCCAGGGTTCTGTGTTTATGTCCTGGTCACAGATTTGTATTGTTCATAAGTATTTTTGAGACCGGTCACAGTTCGTTATCTTCACCTTTTTCATTTATAAGGAAATTGGATTCTTTCTTCTCCTTTCATAGTTGAAAGGTTTAGTCATAACTCACCCCATCCTCCCAAAAGAAACCAGTGCACTCTTGATTTTGACTTGAAATTGTTCGCCATATACAATGAATAATAGGTCACTGTTATACTCATGAAATAGTAGACACCCATCCCCATCATACAGAAAAACGTCACAAGGAAAAGATAATGGATGATGGCGGTTATTGCAGTACATAAGACCTTAAATATAAAGAAAATTTATTATCAGAACATCTCATTTACAAGACATCAGTATGTCAATAATTTAAGATAAGGTTTTTGTTATTCCTGTAAAGTCAAATGTACAATTTTGCACATTGACAAATGACTGACGACAAAACAGAAGCTCACAATTTACCTCATCGTTTGTTTCTTCCACAGCCGATATAAATGCAACATATGATAAAACCAAGGATCCACATAGATTTAATAACATGATGTTTTGATCATTCTTTATATATCTAAAAAATACGCATGCGAGTTAAGGCTAGGTATAGGCGTTTCTATGCAAATGAGCGAATTAAAATGTATAAACGGTATATTTATTATTCGGAGAAAGTTTGATTTATTTTCTTATCCATGCCTAGTACCCACGATATGTTATGGCCAGTACACATTATGACGTCATTGTTCTTACCTACTGGAGGTAATAAAAGACATTATCAAAACCTCTTCGGCGCAAGGCATTATCTTATTTAATTTTAAATAAAAATTGTATAATGTTAAGAAGAGCATTCTATAGATATATAAAACTGCTGCACATTTCCTAGGCATTTTCGCATTTGATCAGAATTTGAGATTTGAGGAAACTTATATCGGAATGTAATTTTTTATCCTGTTTCAACTCAAAGTTTACAAATAGTAATTAAACAACTGATCTGTTGATATTTGTGCAGCAATACCCACAATCCTTGGAATATTTTGCTTCTAAATATACTTTGTTTCAGTTAAATAGAATAGAGCATGCCCTTGCGCTGAAGATTTTTGCCGATAACCGTTATAATCTTGTTTAGTAAAGAACAATAACGTCATAATAAGTACTGGCTATATCATATCGTGGGTACCAAGTACGTATTAGACAATAAGTTTTAACTTTCACTTTATAATAGGTATAGTCCTTTGGCATTTTAATCAGTTTATTTGCAAAGAATTACCTATATCTAGCCTTAACATACTTGTGTAATGTTTATATTCACCACAAAGAATTTACCCTCCAATTTATATGATTTTAAATGATAAATTCATTTTAAAAGCTTTTAAAAACACAGTACATACTTCCAAGTCATGATGAAAATTATAAACGTTAAAACTGTAAAGACAATGGACACAATAACACCAACGAAAGATAAAGTCTTCAGCGAAGCTTTGTCTTCCTTCTCCTACAAAAACAGTATCTCATATTTGTATAAAGAATTTCATGACAATCAATAAGCATATTTTGAATTCTCTCAGATTCAGCTATGTATAATGCGAGAAGACTTTAAGATTCAACTTTTTAAAACATATTGGATTATTATAATTATTTTTTGCAAGAACTAGTTTAATTTTGGGAATTTTTAATGTGAACTTAACATTTGAATAGATGTTAAATTATGAGGGTTCATACTTAACAAGCTTACAAGAGTTGTTAATAGAGGATATAATTCTTAGACATGCATTGATATGTTTATGCATACATGTTCATAAACTAATACATAATATTTGAAATATTCGTACAGATGTATATGGTCTCATCAAAATGGCAAAGTTAGTCAGATGGTTACAATGGCAGATTGTCCTCTTGTTGTTGGTGGAATTTAACTTGCAGCCTTTTTCTGACCACTTGCTAAAGCGCAAAATCATTTAAATCTAAAACAAGTACCAGTAAAACAATTGATTCGACACTATATAAAGATGATATTTTAAGGGATTTTACTACAAGGTTGTGGTGATTAGACTAACAAGAGTAAATCTGAAAACAAAGGCACTTGTTTCTGTTATAATTTTTTAACCCATAGTATAATAATAACACAACGTATCTAACTCCAAATTGCATGGAGTAGTCCCTCCTCAGAATCGCAGTAATTTAAATTTTCAAAGAAAATACACGGACAAACTGTTTATTAACATTGTATTCTATGATAATTTGTCTTCATCTTCACAACCGTATATGGATTGTTTTTATAAAAGCATTCAAGACATTTATTTCAGTTGCACTGTTTTATTTTGGTTTCCTATAAATGTCTTTACTTGATGACTCTAGACTGCCACAAACATTATCATTTTGCACGTTATAAAACTGATATATTCAAATTGTGCAGTACAGTGCAAGTTTTTTTTTCCTTATATGTCTAACATAGGTAAAAAAGGCTTACTTACTGTAATGTAAAACTCCACGATACACAAAATGCTTGAAGCTTATTACTTTTGTTCTAGGAATAAAAGTTAATATTGTCAAATAGCTTAATATGTTTAAATTAATTTAGTTTCATTAAAAAATGCTTGAGTTTCTGATTGACAATATCTAGGTGGTTTTTGGAGACCAGGTCTACCAATAATTTTTTGGAATTTGCCTGGGCACATGCACCAATAGCACCCCGTTATTAGCAGACTTATTTTTTGCATTCATACGAAGCAGAATTTATTCAAAATCTTATACATATGAAGAAAACACACTTGCCGTGGCCTTCAACTCGACATTTAGATATACATGTATCGACAACGTATTATCAATTAACAATAGCTATTTCCATTCATATGTCGACACGATATATCCCAGTAAGATTGAAATTAAAGATACCACAGAGTCCGACACATCTGTTTCATACTTGGATATTTAACTAGAAAAAGACATTAGTGGTATATAACCTAACAACCAAACTTTATAATAAACGTGATGAGTTTAACTTGTATATCGTCAACTTCCCTTACTTATGCAGCAATGTACCCTTATCACCTGCATAGGGGGTTTATATCTCTAAATTGATTCGATACTCAAGAACATGTATAAAAATTTCTAAAACGAGGTAAGTTATTGACAAACAAGTTGATGAAACATGAATAATTATCAACTGTCGCGTTTAAAGTCATCATTTTGTAAGTTCTATGGTCGATACAATGACTTCGTCAGCAAATACAATCTATCATTAAGTCACATGCTGACTGACGTTTTTCGTACTAATTCTTAAGCCATTATTTGCACACTGAGATGCCGGCGGATTTTCCCGTTATTTCTCGATCATGACAAGGAGCACAAGGCGGATGTGACCGGTCGGCAGGGGATGCTCACTCCCATGGCACCTGATCCCACCTTTGATGCTTTAGAGGTCTGTGTTTGCTCTGCTCCTGATTTGTATTGTTTGAATGGAGTTTTGAGCTTAAATACTGTTCGTTATTTCCATATATTTCATTTCATTTCATAATAACCAGTGTCAACAGATGAAAAGAATAGGACAGAGAAAAAAAAGTTACAAATACTTAACCATAAAAATGTATATTTCGAGGAATGATTCACCATATGCTTAATTAACATGTCTATAAATTTTGCCTTTTTTCTCAGATAACTAAAAGTTTGTTATTTTCCTTACCTTGAGATGTTGAAAATTTAGACTTAGAGGAGGGAAAAGATCTCCCAAATCTGTCTGCGTGGTGAGTGACAAAATTTCAGAATTTAAAACGTTTTTCTCCTTCGCTCTCCTATCTTCAGTCACTTTTTCCAATTTTTGTTCTCTAAAACATAATTATTTAAGTTTATCAAATTAAACCTGGATTAAAACGCTAGATGCTGCGATACGGTGCCTTACAACACAAGGCGGAGATCTGCTTATCGGATGTGGAAGATCACTGATGTAAAGAAGGGAATTTTTTCTCTTCATTTAGTATATATTGCATTTCTTCTATATATTTTTCGAAGTTTTGTTTTTATCTTTCATTTTCTTTTGTTTTAGATATATCAAGTTTTTGTATTTTTAATTCTCATTTGCATTTTATATATAGAAGTTTTGATTTTATTTATTGCTATTTTTTATTTAACTCTAAAAATAACAAACGACACGAACAATTCAAAAATGACAAATTTTCGGGAATCCTTCATCAGGTCAAAGAAAAGATTAAAAAGTCATGAGAAAACAAAGCAGATGAAAACAAAACATCTAGCACTAAAACTACACTATATGGATAGTTTTAGGATAAACAAAAGACATGTGCCCTACATTTATGCTGTTTCCTGTTAGGTGGGAAAATGCAAACTCTATTACAATTTAAAAATGTAAAAAGATTTAAGAGAGCAGTTTAAAAAAGTAGCAGTTTAATCTTCATACTGAATAGCAATATTTTGTATACAAATCTTATCTCTTAACTATTAGGTCAAATGGTTAGGAAAAACAAATAACGGGTAGCTTTTGAAATACTACTACAAAATATTTTAATGTTATCATTACATTTTATTTTAATATTTACCTGTCTAAATCTGAATCTGTGTCTAAAATCTCTGAAATAGTCTTATATATAACAGCAACGTAAGTAATAGCTGAAAAAGGCAAATAAAAATTATTATTCGACTAGTTTATTGATTCAATTATTATATGTTAAGATTGCAATAAGAATTTCATTGAAGACATAAGAGCTGTTGAAATTACCTGTTTTGGATTCATTTGCTTGTTTTGGCAATTTAAGAAACGTAGCATATTCATCGACAGATTTGTTACTATCCTTTGACGATATATCGGGAAAAATTATCCCTGTCTCACCTAACTTCGTCCGATTAATTGTCAACTCTGCAAAAAGGCAAATAAAATTAATTAATAAATATTCATCTGTATTTTTCACATATTTTTCTAAAGATTGCTTAATTCTAGCATAAATGCATGTATATTCAAACCTTACCAAAATTTGTGCCACTGAATTTTGTTTCTGTTAGGTTATCGTTTTTCATGAGAACTTTACCAAGTCTGTCCATATTCTTCAAAAGCGAGCTGCCATCTTTCTCCGTCTGAATAAAATAAAACAAAATTCAAATGCATGTACAGTAGATATCATTATTTGAAAAAAGAAAACTAAAATCAATTTAAAGAAATTTGATATAAATTCAGACACCCTCCTTGTTTTTAAAAGTACCTTTTCTTGCACGGTTGCCCAGGATTTAGTATTACTGGTAGATAGAACATTGTCAACGACCTCAAAAAAAGCCTAAAATTGTAACATTTTCAAAAGTTACGTATTTTTTTGCCTTTGTTTATAAATTGTCAAATTGTTCGAATATATACTAAGATCACTTTACAGAAGTTTTTAAATTTAGCACTTCCTCAATGGGGTTTTAAATGACAAAACTAAAGCATAGCAGTTGAACAAGTATTAACTTGATTCACCTTTTTTTCTATGTTCACATTCGTCAAATTCGTAACGTTGACAATCTTTTCCAGGATATCTAGAGAAGAGCTGATATCTCCGGCACTCAGTACATCTGTCTCCGAGGTCAGGTTTTTCATTATCATTAAAGTGTTATCAACTGTTTTCTGTATTTTTTCTGTGTTATTAACAGCGTTTTCTAACAAAACGTCCAGCTGGTGAAGAGGAAATCCCAATTACAACATGTAATACATCACCTTTTTCTTGAAAAGCAATTTATTTCATTAATATTTTGTTTATGATAATTATATATATTTGATACATGCAGAAGATATACTTTTTATTGGTATATATATGAATAGGTCATCAATCTTTGTACATACATATCTCTGATCAAAAAAATGAAAGCTTGATGATGGTGATGTATCTACGTGGGTTGTCCAAAAATTCCGTAGACTTAGCTCATTTCTTTTCTCAGAAATTTATATATCTTTATAAAATTTTCTGGGTGGATAAAGTATGTTGCTGACTGATAAATTACGAAGTTTAAACATGATAACATGAAAACAATCCGAGTAATAAGAATTGTAGTGCCATCGTTCCTTAACACCCAGAGCAATCTCTGATGTCAAAAAGTCACCGGTTCAGATTTTGGGGGAGAAATACATTTATTACAGAATAAAATAATATAATTCATCATAAAAATTAAAGATTATAGATATAAATGTGAAATAACTTACTCATTATGAAATGATTTAGCACTAAAATTTAAGAAACTATGTACATCTATCTGTTTCAAAAAATAATAATTTAAAAAAATCTTTGTTTCTAGATCGACAGGTTTTTCGGGTTTTTTTTTCTCTAATGGAGTTGTGAATATGCAGTGCCACTCTTGCCCGATTCCTCGGCCGGTCTCTCTTTTTGGTTTTTCCCATTCACATACTAGAAAAACCGTTTCAGTCATTTTTCATACACAAAGGGCCAGAAAACAATTCCATGTTTACCAAACATTTATAGCTTATGTGTTTCTGTAGGAATGAATTCAAGAACACATCAGATTTCAAACCGATGGATATTGAACGTTCATAAAATTCATATTAATTAAAGCATACAGACCAAAATTTGAGGAAAGATAGTTTACAATACAATGTTAATACTTTTCAATTTCATTTTCGAAATTCTTAGAAGTAAATACTTTTAAGTAGAATTTTAAATATAATATACCAATTTTTCATTGCCATTTTTGCTACTGTCCCGCCTTCCTACACCAGAAATAAAACATTTCATTTTAAAAGCGTTATTCCGTGTAGTTATTCAATATTTTTCCATATATTCATTAGTTATTGTTGATTTAATCTATGTACAAACTTTCATTAATATATGACACCGGATTCCTTTAAATCAACGCCTACCTATGGAATTTTGTGTCAACCCTCGTAATGTACATTAAAGATATATATTTCCTATTTTATCTTATTAGTTTTGTAGTGCAAACAAACCGAAGAAATGGAAGAAAGGAAAATTCAACAATTCTTGCTTATGTATGGTAATTATACATTTGTTAAGAAAAAATTTACAATCCTAATTATCCTAATTGGACTTTGCTTACACTAGCTTTAGCAAGTTAATATGCTGGATAACCCGAAAAGGTACTACATGTATATTCACAAGCATTAAGATTTCCTTATTTACATTTCATTTAACTTTATATTACTAAAGAACATACCTCTTTTGAAGCGTTCACAAAAGCTTCACTAGAACAATTAATCAGATTAGGCATTTCCCAAAAACCTCGAGTGTCACAATATCTTGTTGCTGTTCCTTAAAAATTGAAAAGAAATGTTTTTCTCTTTAGGTCACGTGAATTAGTCCAGGGACCCACTGTTTTCGTTTGTTGTCGTGCTTTGACCGTTCTGCATCGATTGTAAACTTTTGAACATTTATAACGCCTTCTCAGGAACTGCTGAACAATTTTCAAGAAATGTGTGTTTATGGGTAAAAGGAACCATAAAAATGTATTTCACAATCCTTGCCTCACATTGGCCTAGGACAGAGTTACCCAAATTAATGCAACCTTAAAAGCTTTCTTTGCTGTTGGATATCAAGCAGTCAAACTGTTGGCATGATTATGATGAACAATAAGCCCTTAACCAAGAACTGTTAAATGAATGACCCCTGCCTTCAGGGCACAGGCTTCACTGTGGGGCAAAAATAGTCGTGCACAATAAAGTATTATTTCTTAAAGATCATCTCTACCGGTGGACATCATCTAGTGAATTTCATACATGTACAACCTAGTTCATTTAAGAAGTAAACAACAATATTAAAAAGTTGATTAGGAAATGAGCTTGGTTGGTTACGTGATCAAATCCTGTGAAGCCCGAGAGGCATCTCAGTAGATTTGATCACGTACCAACCAAGTTCATTTCTTAGTGAACTTTTTAGCATTGTTGTTTATTACTTATATTTACATTTGAGGCGAAGATTCCGAATAGAACTGCATTTATTACATGAACGGCCCGCCGTATTGCTATTTTGTGACGCGCAATGACCCAGAAGTTGCTTGGTCTTGAACGTTCGCCTTGCTCCAACATTTGAATATTTACATGGATGTTCAGCTAGCAGTCCAGGAAATTTTTGTTTATAATCAAAGAACAATGATCGCTACTAAGAATAATCTTACTATTTTAAGAGTTCTTTATATATGTAAGTCAAAAGCGGTGGTATCGTCTGTTTCAGTTTACATACCTTCAAACGAATTTCGGGTAAAAAAGGTAAGCGCGATTTTAGTTTAATTATATTATTCAAAACATTCTTCACACCAAAGGAAGATCTAATGAACATCTGTTGAATGAAAAACATCCATATGTTTCAACATTTTTTATCTTTTCATCGCTATCTAGTTAGAGGTTCCGAAAGCAGTTTCACTGTGATAGAAATGTGTAATCAAGATATCATCTTGATTCGGTCACGTTATGACCTCTGACCCCCTAATAAATTCATACATAATTGAACATATTTTCTCTTCAATAGGTTCTTCTAAGAAAAATGTTTGTCTATAGGGCTGGGCTGAGCTTTTCATATATTGAAATTACATTGCATTTTTGAAAATTCTCTTCTCATACCCATTAAGCAAGCAAACTTTTTACAAGGCTAAGATAAGAAGTTTTACCTCTCCAAAAAAGTGAAATTAATCCATGGTTCTTGCCCCAAGGCGGGACTAAATTGGTACTATGTTGAAAATTCATCTGTGGGTACGGACATCATGACATGTTGTTAAAATTGTCAATCTTTGTGAATTTTTTATTAATTACACACACGATTTCTTTTCAAACATGAATGAATACCTTTCTGATTTTCGGGACAGGATTCTTCTGTAGTTGTTCCTGCGATTGTTGCATTCCATGTTATGTTAGAAAACGTCTCGTTTTGACATTGAATTTGTTCTCTGTTATCTACGTAAATAATTGTGTCAGTATGAGAGAAGTGATTTTAATAAGAAGAATAATGTTACTGTGACATAGAAGTAGTGAATTGCTATAATGACATCGATCATTAAATGCTTGCTGTTATTGACTAACCTGGTTTTGTTTCCACTGCAGTGATAGGACTATTTGTTGTATCAGGATAAGAAGAATTCATATAACTTCCAGAATCATCAAGTCCTCCTGATGTCATCTCCAATGTTGTGGTTGTTTTAGGTTTAGTTATATAAATCTCCAAATCTACAAAAATCATTTCACTATGACGAACTTATTGAATGATGTTGGACATTTGTATACATAGAAGGAAGGATAATTAGAAAATCTTTAAGATGAATGATTTTGTAAAATTGACCTTTTTTTCAAATAACTTTTTATTGCAATGTAAAAATACATCAAAAAATTTTCACATCTATGTCATTTTAAATGTTTTACCAACATCTAATGTGTTTATGCCACCAGTAAATCGGTACGCAAGCACATTCTATGAGTATGATCAATATTTAAGACCGCGGAACATTAACTGGCAAAATTGGAAATATGCAGCTTATGTCATTTCCATCTGTTACAGTCTACACATTTAATGATAGACAATGAAATGGGCGGGTACAATTCGACACGGACGTCCGAGAAAACATTGGATTGAAATTCTAGTTTGAAGTTCATTTTCAATCCACCTGAGCTGTTTTCAAACCTTAAGTGTGAATGTATGATCCAAAAGACAAATAATTTCAATTCCAAAATACATGTTGTTTGAAATTCATATTTATATGAGTTTTTTAGCCTATAATTTTAAGGACACGTAAAAGTATAGAAGGCAGTGATTATTTTTTCAGGGGACGGCCATTTGATTCTAGAAAGGGGGGGGGGGGTTCAAAAATTGAGAAGTCAGATCATGCCTTCACATGACAGAATGTACATGTATTCTAGGATGACAAGAATTTTTTTTTTAGTTTTGTCTACATAGAAAAATGTTTAACAAACAAAAACACTTTAACAGGGAGGATTGTTCAAACTAAAAGAAAACTAACTTTCTTATTTATTTCCAAGATCGTTCACCCCCCCCCCCCCCCAGCACACACATACCAAACAGAAATCAAATATTGTCCCATTATATTTCTTTAAAAACACTGGACAGAAAATTCTGATTTACATAAATTTCAAACTATGTCCAAAATTGAAATTATTTGTCTTCTGGGTCAATCAGTAAAACTGTGCGTGCTAGAGTAGCTGAGGTGGATTGAAAATGAATTTCAAACTGGAATTTCAATCCAATGTTTTCTCGGACGTCCGTGTCGAATTGTACCCGCCCATTTTATTGTCTATCATTAAATCTTTTCCTGTAACAGATGGAAATGACGTAAGTTGCATATTTCCAATTTTGCCAGTTAATGTTCCGCGGTCTTAAATCTATGCATGCAACCGAGAAATAAGTTGATGTTAGAAGTCTTCCAACAATTCCGCTTAAAGTCAGCATTTTGCAATTTTAAGGTCTTTGTAATCATTTACAAATACACTTTTGGGTCGTACATGTATTTTGACCGGGCTCTTTCATACCATTTGACGTAATTCATATATATAGATAATCATTCAATTTTTTTTCTAACATCCAGTTATTGAGAATAACATTTGCTCTATTTTCTTGTCATTTCGTTAGTAAACAATCTAAGTAAAGGATAAACGTCTATGCAATGTTCTGTAAGGTAGCTTTTTTTTTATCGAAATCTAAAAAAAACCCCACTATTTTTTTCTTCTATTCTCATCCATGTTACTCTAGTAGCTAAAATGTCTACTGGGGATACATGGAACAAATTGTTTATTAGCTATGCACAGCAGGTTCTAGATTCCTACAACAATACAATTTGGATGTTTGTTGTAAAGCCGTATTGAAAAAACGTTTGTTGTGTTTCATAATCAAGGACCAGAAAATGTTTTCAATATAAAAAATAATATAAAGTAAAACATACTATTACTTGTTGCATTAGGATAAGAAGAAGTCACATAACTTCCAGAATCATCAAGTCCTCCTGATGTCATCTTCATTGGCGCGAATTCATTCGAATCTAATAAAAATATTTCCTTATGACGAATTTTTGGCCTGTAAAATTGTCTCTGATGATGAATTAAATGTTCACTGACTACTAATATGTTCATGGCACCAGTAAATCGGTACGCAACAGGGACGTCGGCAAGTATTTGACATTGGGGAGGCGAATTGGATCGGGGGGGGGGGGTCCTAACCAACTTTTTGTGACATACACTAAATAATTAAAATTTCCGTCAGAATCTTGATATTTTTCCCATTAAGTCAATAGTCTAGACGTATTTTCTGATTGAAAAAGAACAAGTAAACAAGCAACCAAAAAAAAAAAAAAAGTTTTATGTGTTTTAAACAAAACCTGCTTAAACAAAACCGGAGTATTTTTGAATAGCTAGGAGCTGTTTTTTTTTCCGAAATGGCATAGAAAGAACTTTGAAGGGTTAATGACGAGGTATAGATTAAAATACATATAATTTTCTATTATTGTATAATATTTAATTATTGTATAATATTTCTCGTTACTTGCCGAAAGAATGCATAGTTATGAACTTTAAAATGAACAGGGTAATTAATCCTTCAGAATCCATCCATTTTTGAAATGCAGAAATATGTATGACATTATAAAAAAAAATCAACTGAAGTTGTTTTAAAAAGTAATTTTTACCCAGTATTTTTAGTATTTTGCTTTAATTTAATAGCTTTCAATTTCGATTCATAAAAAAATTTGCAAACATCGATCGACCAATTCATTAGACAATGAACAGGCTTGTTATACGCGGGGGAAAGTGTAAGGAACGGGGTGGGGGCTCCATTTTTGCCCAGTTTCTCCACTTTTTCTGAGAATAGTTTTTTTTGCTTAAGTTTCGATGGATAAAAATTCATTTATTCAGACGCTGCTTGCCCGAACTCCCTTTCATACACGCTTTTTGTTGTTGTTAGGTCGAACTCAGGCAAATTTCAGCATTTGAAAAGAAAAAAAAATTCTGGAAACTTAGAGAATCCCTACCCCGCTCCCCAAAAAGAGAAATTCCAAAAATGTTGCTAGCTTTGCGCCTGATGGAGAATTTGTAGAAAACTCGCACATAGAGTGATGGATACCATGCTTACTGTTTACGCACGCCAGGTACAGGTACATGTATATTGTATATACACGTACATCCCAATTTGCACCTGTGTAAACAATAGCTTTCACACTCTGCCGCTCCATTGACCACAGACTGCCGTTATTCTTGCCGCTCCATTGACCACAGATATTGCCATAACAAATTTTGTAATTCTGTATTTCTCATTTAAAATTCATTTTTTGTTTTGTTTGGTGTTTTGTTTTGTTTTGTTTTGTTTTTTTAGCAAAATGATTGGGGCGGCGGTCGCCGCCCCTTTGCCGACGCCCCTGCGCAAGCGCACTCTATGAGTATGATCTATTTTTAAATCTATGCAGGCTACTGACAAATAAGTTGATGTTTGAGGGCTTCCAAAAATTTCGCTTAAAGTTAGTATTTCGCAATTCTAGGGTCTTTGTAATAATTGACAAATGCATTTCTATCGGTAACGGTAGCCTAGTGGTAGAACGCTCGCTTCGTGATGGGGAGTCCCGGGTTCGATTCTCGTTCTTCGCATCGCGTCAAACCTAAGACGTAAACATAGGTAGTGGCTGTTCCTTGACTAAGCGCCCGGCACTGGAAGTGAAAGTCACGGATCTTTCGGATGAGACCTTATAGAAACCGAGGTCCCGTGTCACATTAGGCTTTGGCACGATGAAGAACCCTCACCGCCCAATGGTCCTGTGTGCCGAGTATAGGTCTAAATTTGAAACCCTTTACCGACATACGATAACGTCTCTATACAAATTAAAAATTCTCGAATGGGAAGTTAAACAAGATGCAATCAATCAACCAATCAAATATACTTTTGGGTCGTACATGTATATTGACTAGGTTCTTTCATACCATTTGAAGTTATCTAAAATATATGGATAATCAATCATTTTTTTTCTATCTCCAATCAATGAGAATGACTAAGAATAAACCTCTGTGCTATTTTCTGTAACGTAGTACTTTGTCGAAAAGTAAAAAAAAAAAAATTATTATTTTTATCTTCTATTCTCATCCATGGTACTGTAGTAGCTATAATGTCTATGGAGGATGCATGGAACAAATTGTTTATTAGCTCTGCACAACACGTTATAGACTCCTACGTCAACGCAATAAGGATATTTGTTGTAAAACCACATTGAAAACGTTTGATGTGATTCATCAAGGATTATGAAAATGTCATATAAAAAAAAATGTAATTTAAGTAAAAGCAGATTATTTTATGATACCTCTGCATATTTTTCTATATATAAATATGACGAATAAAACTGCTATTTTTTCTAAAGAGCTCTACCGTGAAATAGTTTTGTGCTATTTGCCCATGGTGAAATAGTCATCGAAACCATTCACCGTCAGCTTTCGATTTCCCTTACATTTTATCTCGGAACTTAAATTTTCTGGTTTTATCTAGATCTTGTCTAACACACGTAAATTCTGCTTTGGCATAATAAAACATATATTTAGTCAAATGGCTATGAGGACAATAGCAAGTTTATTGTTCCCTCGACAGGATCTATTTCCCTCTGCTGCGCCTCGGGAAATATTTGCTGTTTCGGGGGACAATACACTTGCTATTGTCCTCAAAGTCAATATATAGGTGCATAAAATAAGAATAAGTACATGATATATATACATTAGTGTATAATTGACTCGAACAGTAACCCACCTTCGACGTAAAAAGCCAAAACAAAACCGCTTCCACCAAACCCTATGTCACTAACAAACTGCACCTTCGTTGTAGTGTCATTTAATAACATTCTGCCGGAGGTCCGAAAAATATTATTTTCCGAATCTTCACAAAATTCTAAATCACATACATTTCAAAATAAGTATATTTATAAAAGAAAATAAATTTTGTAAAGTTTCTTTAAGAGTGCTAATTATTTTACCCTACATTACTTTGTAAATGATGTTTAACTAAAACGAGCTATTTTATCTAGGTAGTGTTTCAGGGTGGTTCTACTCAATGAAAAATATGCAGGATTAAAAGAAATAGCTTCCACATCGGCATCCACCAATCAGTCTAAAATCTTAATTTTTAATTTTCTTCCTCTCCTTTACCCTAAATATTCCTTTCAGACTGTCATAGAGGGAGAGGGAAACAATTTCCATCCAAGAAAACGCTACAACATAATTTAAATTTTCCAAGACTAAACGATATAAATATACAGTATTATATAAAATAATATATTCATTTTATACTGAATATTAAAAAAAATATCTAACAATACCCTGATAAGGTATTACAATAAGCTTTCAAATAATTTGACATTTGGTATTGAGCAGTTCTGTAGAAATATAAAAGATAGCACAGATACTGACAGATACTGACCGCCTATACTCTCTATCTTTACGTAATCAATGCAGACATCGATACTCTTCTCTAAATACTGTGACCGGAACTCGAAAACTAAACGAATATCCTTCTTCTTAAAAGCAGGTTTCACTCTCCAGGAGCAGTGTAGTTCACTAAGAAAGAAGCATAAGATAGGGGAACTAGACGCCAGTCCGAACCCCTCTCCCCTTATTTGTATTTGTTTTTTAATTCTGTTTTTTAACTTCATGTACTTATACCTTTGATATTCAGATGGGAACCCCGGAGATGTGATAAATTTCGGTGTTGATTCTGCTACTAGTGTCCTATCAGTTGAATCGCAGGTGTCAACTAAATTAGAGCAAATAAAGAATAAGTAGGTAATCTGTTATGAAAAAAGAGAGATTTACTGAAATTTCATACTGTCACCCTATATAGTTATGTGCCTAAAATTATTAATGCTACCCTGTTTTCCTCGCAACACATATGTGCATGCAGTACAGTTAAGGTGCACAATTGAAATATCGGCAATGTTTTTGAATAAAAAAAATCTTTATCAGAATCGGCGCTTCTTTTTTGGTGCTTTACTACTTTTGGACAAATGTAATATGTTTAAAAACTAGATATTGGAGACGTTTCGGTTTTCTATTTAGACTTTTCATGTGATGTGACAGTCACGTGATTTTACAAATATACACTGTACTTGCAGTATTGAGGTCATCTACAAATTTCAATATCGCAAGGGAATAACAGAGTTAAAATGCTAAGTTCAATCAATATATTTAATACCCTTTGCTGTTTGTGAAAAGTTTTGCGATTCGATATATAGATTCTGCTATTTAGTTATTTTAATCATATTTGAAAGACCCCTTAATAGATACCTTTTGAGTTTATGTGTAAAAGCTTATCAGGGTAGCCTTAACTGTGCTTAAAAAATTAAATGGTGATAATTTTTTTTATTTTTTAAAGTGTTTGTGGATGAAATAGAATAATTCAGATGTATATTTATTGGACATACTTTTCTTCTTCTCAACAGACATGAATCGAAACTGGAAGCCACCTTCTTTATAGGGAGACGACGTTCTTAATGTAAGGAGAATTTCTGATGATCCAGTACGTATGATTTCGTTACAATATCCATCGGATCTGGGACATCCAACACAACCATCTGTCTTTGTTAACGTTGTTTGGGCTTAAAAACAATAAAAGAATTCCTTATTTTCTTGAATTAACGACTTAAGATAGGTTACAAGCATTAATAGTAAATATTAAAATCACAAGTCAAGTATGTATTTATTTTTTAAATAAATGGCAATGCTATCCATTCTTTTGTCAATGGATCTTGTATGTTGAGTGTGAGTCATATATGTTTATACTGACACAAAATCAGGAATAATCTTTGAGGACATACGCAAAATAGATTAGAACTTAATTCACTTATTCTCTTATGATTTAAAAGTTCAAATAATTGAAGGACCTTTGCACGACTTTTACAATGCCTTGTTACAACGCACTTTTTAAAATAGCGCACTTTGAATTTTTTTTTTTAAAGTGCATCAAATTTGGGACCATGTTAACGCACTTTGAAAGAAAATATTTTTTCGAAGTGCGTTGTTGTAACCACTATTGAAACAACCACCAATATGGAAATAATTGGTTCAAGAGTGGTTGAAAGTGCATTTCAAAACCAAACACGGGTTGCAACCACTTTTAAAATAACATTCTCTGTTGAAATAATTATTTCAATAGTGATTGAAAGTGCATTTTAAAAGCAAACAAAGATTCCAACCACTATTGAAATTATGTTCATTCTTGAAAAAAAATTCAATAGTGATTGAAAAACTGATTTCAATAGTGATTGAAATAATGATTTCAATTATGATTAAAATGAATATTTTAATAGTTGCTGACAATGATTTCAATACAAAAACCACATTGCAAGCCTTATTAATATATCCTCACTATTAAAAAAAAAATATAAGGATGCATTGTTCATTCCGTTTTCTTAAACAATAAATTAATATATTGAGTTTAAAATATGATAAGTAATTTTATGTTAACCTTTTTTTTCTAGAAATTTCAATTAACACACGGACATCTTTGATTAAACTGATGTACCTAAAATTCAAACAAAGTATGCAAATGTTATATGCAAGCTCCCGCTGAATCTGGCCGACTCTGCGAAAACCAACAGACAATCAAACAATATATGGAATTTTTAAATATTTTTGTTATATAAAGTTCATCTTTGTCATTGATTTGGAGAGGAAAGGGAAGTTAGTATAAGCATTGTCACAATAGTGGGTATTATTTCAATAGTGGTCACACGAATAAAACACCTATGAAACATAATATCCGTTATTGAAATAATTATTTCAATGGTGAACGTTATTCAAATAGTGGTTTCAACCTGTGTCTGGTTTTAAAATGCACTCTCAACCACTACTGAAATAGTTATATCAATAGTGCTCGTTATTTCAATAGTGGTTGCAACAGTGCGTTAATATCGACCATATTAACGCACTTTGAAAAAAAAATGTGCACGGCTTGGTCAATATTCTTGCAAATTTTAAGTTAGATAAGTAATTAGTTGAACCTGGTTGAATAAATTTTCAGTGATGACGTCACTTCAGAATCTGAGATAAAGACGTTTTAAAGATTTTTAAGGGTTGTTTTTTTTTCCCTAGAAGTTCTTGTAAATGGTATAAAAGGGAAACGGGTCTTTCCTTCTTTTTTTTTTTTTTTTTTTTTTTAAATTTTATCAAGTCTGTAATAAGTTCAGTAGAAGTGACTTTAAGCATCGCATTTTTCTTAGGGTAAAGGAAGCAACTATAATTGTTCCATACCACGAAAATTCTCTTTCTTTCTTTCTTTCTTTCTTTCTTTCTAATCTGTCTAACTATTAATTAATCATATTCATCTATCTGTCTATTGTGTACATGTATGAATGAATGATTGATTCATTTACTTGATAGTAAGAAAAAAATAATCCTTAGCCACATTATTCACTCGGCTGAAATTTTTACCTCGTTCACTAATAGCTTTTAGAATTTTGTTCCTTTTTTTTAAATATGACCCTTAGGGGTGCGAGAAATGCAACAAATTAAAATGGGGATCAAGTTTGTATGCTCATTGAAAATAATTTTCCCCTGCAACACGAGGGTTTTTTTTTTTAGTTATTTGATACGCATATAGAAGTATGAAAAAAATGTTTATTCCCGCACAAGATGATGAACTTTTTTTTACAGTTACTCGACTGGTATTTAAAGGTATGAAAAAAAATATTTATGCCTTATTTGATTTGAATTGAATTTGATTTTGTAAATCTACTTTGGCCAAAGAATAGTCAGTTGGCTATTGTTGCGTAGATCAGCAATATGGTCCCTGAGCATATCTTCCTTAATAGGTTGCGTTATTATTTTTTTTCAGGAAAGCTTATTTGATTTTTTTAATCTATTCTACGTTAACTCAAATTTATTGAATGAAAGTATATCAATGTCATATCAATTTGAATACTAATAGTTGAGTAGGAAAGATGAAGAGTTGGACTGAGGGACCTTCTACCTATCTTTTCCTCGTTCTCGATGAGGCTAGATCAATTCATCTGTTTTTCGAAAGAAATATAACAAAATAATGCTGTCTATTACTATAATTTTTGTTTTATACATATTTTTTTAAGTGTGTTAAGTGTCTCCATGGTAAAAATGTTGACTCTTAACGCACTTTGAACAAGAGGCCCATGGGCCACTACGCTCACCTGAGTAACTTTGGCCTTGTTGTTTTTCACCTGATTTCCCCCCTTGTAGTACATTTTGTGGCCCCGTCCTAACCAACGGGTTCATGATTTGAACAATTAAGAACTTAAACTACCCCAGGATGCTTCCAATGAAGTTTCAGCTTTTTTGGCCCAGTGGTTCTTGAAAAGAAGATTTTTACTTCATATTTCAATGTAAAACTTGGATTCCTTATTGTGGCCCCGCCCTAACCCCGGGAGTCATGATCTGAACAATTTAGAATCTACACTTCTACAGGATGGTTCCACATAAGTTTCAGCTTTTTTGGCCCAGTGGTTCTTGAGAAGAAGATTTTTCACTACATATTTCAATGTGAAACTTGGATTCCCTATTATGGCAACGCCCTACCCCCGGGGGTCATGATTTGAACAATTTAGAATCAACACTACCCCAGGATGCTTCAAATTAAGTTTCAGCTTTTCTGGCCCAGTGGTTCTTGAAAAGAAGATTTTTTAAGATTTTTTCTACATATTTCAAAGTAAAGCTTGGATTCCCTATTGTGGCCCCGCCCTAACCCCGGGAGTCATGAGTTTGACATTTAGAATCTACACTACCCCAGGATGCTTCCACTTAAGTTTCAGCTTTTCCAGCCCCGTGGTTCTTGAGAAAAAGATTTTTTAATGACCCCACCCTATTTTTGTCTTTTCTTGATTATTTCCCCTTGGAAGGGGGTTTGGCCCTTAATTTTAACAAATTTAACTCCACTTTACCCTAAAATGCTTTGTACCAATTTTGGTTAAAATTAGCCCAGTGGTTCTTGAGAAGAAGTTGAAAATGTGAAAAGTTTACAGACGGACGGACGAACAGACGGACGAACGACGGACAATGGGTGATCAGAAAAGCTTACTTGAGCTTTCAGCTTCTTAAATCGTATTCAGAGTCCGTAATTTTTTAGAAGTGCGTTGCAACAATGCCCACTGATGCTATTCACCTCTTCTAATTCAAACTTTGAGGAAAAACCAGCTAGAACTATACTTTTGTTATGATTTCTTGAATACCACAAGAATATTCATAATTTGATATCTGTTCATTACCTCTGGTAATGTATGCTGTATTTTTTCTAGCAACATCGTATGGTACCAACGAATGTAAATCTAGGATATCTTGCAAAAGTATCAGTGGGAAAGGTACATGTACATATACATGTACGTTGCGTATGACCTTAAGTAGGTAAATCTTTGAAAAAGTATCATTGTTATATCATTCCTAATTATAAAATCCTACTTTTAAAGATTGTAGGAGAATAGCACACTTTCATGAATTTAGAAAATTCAAAATAACTCATACATGATTAAATGCATCTTTTTCTTTTCGTGCATTTTATACAACCATTCTTCATGAAAAATTCAAAATAGACTTTTTGATATTATAGACAACTACTTCTCCAATTAAAATGGAACTCGAAAAATTTCGATTCTTGTGATTGGTTATCTATAAAATTACTTTGTAAAAAAAAAATCACTGACTCTACATACTAGTACTCTGAAATTGATACTTTAAGGGTGCTTGAGTTCCTCACTATCAAGATTTATATAGTCTTCGAAGACCACGTCTTCCAACTATGTTGAATTCCGATGGACACTAACTGTGTTCCTTTATTATCCGACTAGTTTTTATATTCCTATGCAGCAAAATTTATTTAAAAACTCCTACACGAGAAAAAGAAAGCATTGTTTTGGCCTTCAATTCGACATTCAGATATATCGATGACTTTTTATCAATTAACAATAGTTACTTCAAATCATTTGTCGATTCCATGCACCCTATGAAATTCAAATAAAAGACACCACAGAGTCTGCCATACAATGTATCTGTTTCATATTTGGATGTTTTACTGACTAAAGACGATAAGAGTCAACTAACCTCTAAATTGTATGACAAACGAGATGACTTCAGCTTTCCATCGTCAACTTTCCTTATTTATGTAGTGACATTCCGCTATTACCTGCATATGGTGTTTAAGTCTCTCAATTTATTCGATACTCCAGAACATGTTCTTAATTTTTAAACAGAGGCAGCCTACTGACAAATAATTTGATCTTACATGAATTTCAACAATCTCGTTTAAAGTCAGCATTTCGTAAATTATGTGGTCGTTTTTTTACCTTGGTAGCAAAAAATACCTATCATTAGGTCGTACTTTTGCTGAAGTGTTTCATACCAATTATTAGGCATTTGTTTTAATACTAAATTTTACTACGGAATGTTTCGTCTACCTGATCGATACATGGGATTCACGGTGGGTATTAAAACAGGGAATGCTTACTCCTCTTAGGCACCTGGGAATCGTAACACAAAGCTTGCTAAGTTTTTGACTTAATTAGGATCATAAGAATGTTTTAGGCGCAATATTAGGACCTGCCTAAAGACTACTTAGGCATGTCTTAATTCGTAACATATAACGAACTAAGCAAAGTCTTAGCTAAATCAAACTTATGTTCATTATATTTCTTATGAAACTCTCTAGTTTTTATTAGTCCCCTACCGGTGAAACCGAAGGGGACTATAGGTTTCCTCTGCGTCTGTCCGTCCGTCTTTCTGTCTGTGCGTCTGTCCCTCTATCTGTCAGCCTGTCCCACTTCGTTTTCCGCACCTTTTTTTCTAAACGCTTGCAGATATTGAGCTGATTTGTGGTATGTGAGTGTATCTTGATAAGTTACAGATCAAGATTGCATTTCGTTCCACTTCAATGATTTTTGACGAAATTACGACTTTTTCAATTTTTCAGGGTTTTCCGCAACTTTTTTTCTAAAAGCTTGAAGATATTGAGCTGATTTTTGGTATGTGACTTTACCTTGATGAGTTATAAATCAAGTTGCATTTCGTTCCGCTTCATTGATTTTTGACGGAATTATGGCATTTTCAATTTAATAACGGGAACCAGATTACACTTGCCGGTAGTGGACTAGTATTGCTAATGCAATACTCTCAGAATGCTTGTTATAATTACTTGTATTGAAAAAGAAATGTTCAGTTAAGTTTTAATTATATATAAATCCACGTCCTTTCTTAAATTTTAATTAGGTTACATTAGACTTCGTATTTAAATCATAATTCTGTTAAAAATGAATCTAGATTTTTGAAAACAAATATTGCACGTTATATCAAATTAGTAATGATTCAATGTAAATGCATGACTTTTGTTTTATCTCGTGACTGCGATGTTTCAGTTTGTTTTGACGTAAGATCACTCGCTTTGTCGTCTTTGCAGATATGCTACGATACCCGAACGTCTATCTACTTGAAAATGTAATTAAAAATAAGTGCAAATCAATAGGGAGCCTTTGAATTGTATCAGCCCATGTCAGCAAGCAAAGAATGTAGATGTTTTATGATATACTTATTTACAATTTGATCAAGGATCGAAAAGAATTGTTTTTGGAAGATAATTTTTCGTATGTCTCTAACTTAATAATAGCTCTCTCTCTCTCTCTCTCTCTCTCGCGGAAGTGAACCCCTGTCTGAATTTGCGCTGGTCGAGTTCTACATTGAATCTAATTTACAGACACTTTTTATTAGCTTCCTAGTCACCATCCTCTAACACAGTAGTGTTAATAACCTATAGGTCCAACTAGAAATTCAAAAGTATCCCCAAATATTGGATTCAGTGATCAATAAAACTGCTCCCTCCCCTCCCACGAAAAACAAATTCATATACCAGCATAAAATAGAGATAATTATTTTCTTTAATGCATAAAATGAATGGAAAAATGTTTCGAGATTCAACATTTACTAGTTCTAAATATGTTCACAAGTGATAGCTTTTGAAAAAGCTTGTCTGACTAAATCAATCAATATCTATGGAACGTATAAGCAAGAGAAGTGCTTAACGTTTCCTTCATCACAGAGGGACATAGTTGCGATACTTCATTACACAAAATGTACAACTGACTATCTCAAATGTCGTAACCAAATATTACAGATTAAAGAATATCTAAGACATGCCACTGTTTGTTATTTTATTTATTATTATTATAATTTATTAGTAAGCCCACGGGCCGACTAGTTACGTTGGGAGGAAACTGCAAGTGCGCTTGCGTAGAATGGAATTCTGGGAAAAATAGGTAGACGAGTACTTGTCGTTCTAAAGAAATTCATACTCTATAACCAGAGGGCGCACTTCTTCATGCGCACTCTCTGGACAGTGATAAATTGATGAGATGGCCTCTATTTATAGATTGGTCTGTTCTCCGTCGTTCTCGACGACGAAGGAACTTGCAAGCAGTTTTAACTAAGAAAATGGTCTTTAAATTTTTGAGACAAAAATGCTTCAATGCTGCTCTACGACGCAAAGTAAATGGCCTGTACACTTTATACATGTAGCTAGAGCAAAACAAGATACTAATACATGTAACACCCCCTCCCCCCGGACGAAACTCACTTGCGATGATGGTCTTACTAATATCATGAGTGAGTTTGAAATACATCTTCATGTAGTTTTAAAATCGTTTACAGTTTTACTTTCAATCAATTTCAGGACCTTTCTCATTTCTTCTATTATACCGTGGTTTTTTTTTTAATGAAATGAAAAACAATACAGATCATGATGTCTTCTTTTTGCCGATTCTTTACTTAGAACCTTACGGGAGTGAATCCCATTCCTCTACGGGTACTTGCCTACACTCTTGTCACCGTATCAAAAAGAAACCCTTGTTCATCACAAAGCATGGAATAATATGCTCCTGGCTGACTTTCTAAGTTTTTAAAAAGCTAACCTTATAACGTACAATATTTTGTTATATTGAAAGAAAGATGGAAAACAGACTGAATCAAGAAGAAATGTCCCATTTACCAAGTGCATTGAGGTAGTTTGTTGGACTGATTGGACTAGTCCACTTATGGGATAACTGGGAAACAAAATAGTAAAAATAATCAGCAAATCCATTGCTTTAGTGTTGCCTGCCTAAATACAATGTGATATTAAAAAAATGAGATAGAATTTGCAGTTAATAAAAAATCTGTAGCTTAAGAATCAGATTAAGGTCAGACGATACGTTCCTCAAAATTCTGTTTTGTATATCTTCGTATTGTGTGGAAAATACTCAAAATTATAATTACTTTCTGAATTCTAAACTGGTTTCTAATTGTCTGTAAAAAATTGAAACACTAAAAAATGTGTTATTGGCAAATTAAATTTTTTCCAAAAGGATTTTATAGGAAACAACATCCTCTGTTACCTTGCACAAATGCCTGGTAAGGTACCTCGATTTTTTGCAAGTAAACATATTAAAGTAGCAATACTTCAGTGACAAAATCTTAGAAAAAATTATATATTATATAGGAACGTATCGTCTGTCCTTAAAAGAACAAACTCAATTTATTTCCATAGAAGTTATCACACCCATTCAATAGAACAATCAAAGAAAAAAGCGCGAAGATAATTTACTTGTGACATTTGACGCGAAATGATTGTGTCACCCCTTTCGTAAAAGACAAATGGACTGATCCAGTAGTTTAGCAACGCAGTAAAAGTGTTACACGGACATGTATGTCCGTATAAAGAATCGCAAAGAATAAAGGATGACTGCACTTAACGCCTGGTTTTGGGTCTTTTTCGGTCGCTTCTGTTGCTTTATATCATAATCTTATTTCATTTTTATATATTTATGAAAGAATCCTGTCAATTTCGGGCCGAATTTAAATATTAAAATGATCTTAGACTGTGATACAATAAAATGATTCTATGTTTTCTGCCCTTACTCTTTCCAAATATAGAGAATGTACACTTACCTGCCCTTGATTATACATTAGGTATGCATGAGAGGTGGAGCTAATATTGTAAGAATGGGTCTAAAATTAGACTAGATAAATAACAATGAAATGTATTAAAAAATACGTGATCACTCTTTCCCATTCCCTCTTTATTCTGTATGGCACAAGTACTATTTTCAGAGGTTTCAAAAATGAAATTAACAATATGAGCGACGTCAATGTAAGTAAAGAATCTTTTAAATCAATGCCTAATAATTTAACATATTCGAGCAATTTGTCCTAGTTAGCACAAAACTTGCAACTTTACAAGTCACGTGACGGAATTTAGTATTCACAGAGTTACCTGAGGTAAGAAATCACGTGGTGAATTATAATATTAAACATGTCACAGCCCTTGGTTACAATAGAGAGAGCGAATGTAAGAAGAAGCATTTTTTTTCGTTTAATCCATGAGCGCATGTTTGTCTATTAATCTCCTTTTGACACATTATTATTTATGCAAATATACAACTACTGTTAAACGGAGAACAATAGACAAACATGCGCTGACCATGACTTGTATAAAGTCAGTGAAAAAGTGGGCGTCCTCATTATCGTACGGAGAATCAAGGAATTGTAGTGACCCTCGCCTTAGAAAACAGCTTCGTACTTCGTAAATACGTACTTTTATTTAATGTAATTACATAAAGTTGTAGATTAGATGTTAACCATTCGTGCAATTAAAAGAAAAATTCTTGTTTTGAAAGTTTATTTTGTCGCAATTTTCGCATGTCCTTAAGTGCAGTCATCCTTTGTGCATGCAAAAAACTGAAGGAAGTAAACGCATCATTATTTTGCATCAGTAATATGATTCTTTCTTCCGCAAACCGTATTTGTTAAAATGCAGGTAACAAATTCCGATGTAAATCAGCCTGCACAAAATCTAGCTCATGAAGTATGATCGCTTAGTTTCGGACCATGGAAATATTGATTCTTATACTGCCTGACGCACTTGACGTCAGGCAATAAGATAGTTAAGACATACTGAAGCAACCTCCACAGGATTCCTAAGTTTTGCTAAGATTTTCAAATCTTAGCACGCTTTTTGTTACGGTCGTAAGTCTAAGATTGTACTTAAGTCCTTCTTATATATGGTCTTAGACTTAAGTATCATTTATGTTACGACCCCTTGATTCCCCCTCTGGAATTTCCGGAGTTCCGTGTTTTATGCCCTTTTCACAGATTAGTATTTTTTTTTTAGATTTTTTTTTTAGATCGATCGCTGTTTCTTACCTTCACCTTTCCATTCTTTGAATGGCATGCTCTTTCTTAAAGCAAGAAGTTTGATGGCCAAGTATTGTTTTATTTGCCACATTTCTTTATTCCTGAATCTGCATAAAGGCTGTAAACATCAAATTTTGTCATCATTTGCCATTCAGAATGAATCTGTAGCTACTTATTTATGCTTAAAATAAAATACCGTAATATAGACGAAAAAATGCGTCCACTTCGCACGTCCACTTTGGATAAACCACAATATCATATCCTGCAATTCCGCTGATTTTCCAAGAGCAGTTCAAGTTACTAAAACAACGCATTTTTTAGTATTAATGCTTCGAATACATCTAAGAAAAATTCAGTTCTAAATTGAAAATATATGAGTTTAATGGACGATATATAGTTTGTGGGAAAAATATAAATATTTTATGCACTTATTATTATTATTTTTTATTTTTAGAAAACATTGCCTCTTACATTCCATATCCTTTTTCTACTGGATAGTTTTCTGGATAGGCAACTTTTTCCCCCATATAAGGCTGAAGAATTATTTCTTGAACACCTTTACAAGCATGTGTTGTTGACACTGTAAAAGATGAAATCATAGTATTCTCTACAGTCACAATTGTGGGATGCTTTCTATCAATATGTCTCAATATATTGCTTGAAAGCAGGATTTAGTAATGCGGTATGCATATAGAAAAAATCCCATTTTTTCAATTTTAAGTATCACACTAATTGGAAAAGTAGCTCTGCTAAAAAAGAGAACATATTTCTGTAAGCTAAAGTTATCCGCTTTTCGTACTGCTTCCACTGAAACCTGCTTACAAGAAAGCTATCATCAATATTCAGATTTCCTATCAAAAATACTCTATGTGGTCATTGCTATCCTCCTTCAGGAGACTCAAAAGTGAGTAAATTTCCGCCATTTTAATACCCAGTATTGCGGTAATGAATGTAAAATATTCAATACGTACATACAAGGTAGTATAAACGTTGTTGTGCATGTTGTACAATGATTTTGAACAACTGTGTCAGCACTTCAGTGTTTAGAGGTACCAACGTTTTCGTTTCTATTATAGACTATCATTTGCTTACAACAGATTCCAAACGACAGAAAATGACATGAATCGAAAACAATCTTTTGAAGTTTGTTGCAACAATAAGGTTATGGAAGTGAATAAAAAGATTTTTAACTACTTTAAATAAATACATCTCAATGATTTGCCTTCATCGATATTGTAAAATTGAGTCATTGTTGTCATGACGGCTTTTTAAAATCAAAACCATTACAGGATAACATTTTATATAGATACTAAAACCCTTTAGGAGAGAACGTAAAGCAACATGCGAGGGTTGATCCAGAAGTTATCTCACAACTTCTAAAAAAATATTGAATAATCAAATGTTATAGCAAAATTTTACACACTAATACCCCTCTCTATTTTGATTTTGTGCCTTAAAATTTCATGTGATTATATTAATTTTTTTTTAATGAAGAAAAACACAAGGTTAGGTTTTGTCTATCGCCGCTTGGCAAGAACGTTAACGACGTTGGCCCTCATATTTTTTTAAACCCTTTGCGTGCTTCTTTTTAATAATATTTACATTTACTGCCATTATGTTATAAAGTGTCTTGTTTTGAGTTGTAGTAATAAATTATTTTTATGTTGACCCATTGTTATTTCTAAATACATCCCTTTTTGCGAAAATCTTGAAGATTATCAGTTTCAAAATGAGTGTCGAAGAGAAATGTCATACCGACGTCGGTACATTCTTGCCATGCGGGGATAGACGAGACCCAACGTTGAGTTTATTTTAATATTTTCTGAAGTATTGCATATATCTCAATGAAATTTTAGGACAACGGTCAAAATAGATAGAGGTACACGTATATAAAGTTTTGTTCAAAATTTATGATCATTTAAGATATTTAAGCAGTTGTGACATTACTTTTGGTTCAACACTCGTCATTTAAAGATTGAGATTGTACAATAATACAATACCGTAAAACCTTAACGACATACAATTGACGATAAACTTACCATACAGAGGAATAAACAGAATAGGAAGTAGTTTCTCCATAGCTTCATTCACAATAGACTAAAAAGGAAGAATTAAAGCTCATATAAGTAGATAACGAATGATGCACTTGGAACAGTCATTTAGCATAAAGAATTAAAATAAAACTCAGATGTGGGACAATTAGTATTAAATAACTGTTTGTGCATATTTAGTTCACTGAGTAGAAAATTAGAGGTTTTATTTTTCATGTGACGGAAGCTCTCCGGTGTGAAATAGCAATTTATTATATGGAAGTAAATAATTATTGAACTTTGAAGTAGATATTGAAAGAAGTTGAAAAATAATCAAAATTGTCAACTTCGTTAACAAGTTTGAGTCTGCTACAAATACCCTTTTTGTTGATTGTTATTAACTTGCTGAAACAGATAGAAGAGCGTATCTCTGTATCCATTTATATGAACATACATAAATTTGATGACGTTTAGAACATGAAAAGAATGTGTTCTGATTGAATAAGATATCTCAGATAATGTAAACTGTAATTTACATGGTGATTATATAAATGGACAATATTTTCTTTTTGAACCCATGAGAATAATAAACGAAAATTATTATAGGATATTATATTTTACTTATCTGTACAATAATACCGTTTGACTAAAACGCACAATATATTCTTTTTCGTCCAATGATATAGAGAACAGTTCATGAAATAGTTACGTGCTACTGCTCGACAAATCAGGATCAAAGAGCAATAAAATGCCTTGTATATTTCATGACATTGTTTTGAAATTTATGCCGTTAATGAGCAAATAATTTAACAAATCAAAATCAGTAACTACCACGATACGAAACATCAAATAAATAAAATGCATTTAGCATTACCAATTAGGAAAACATCATATGAATATTATTTTTAAAGTTTTTTTTTCCAAAAATGATCCTCATCCTCCGATTTTGCAGTATGCAAATTCTTGCAGATATTGAGATAACATCTGCATCAACATATATTTTCAAGAATTCAAAAAAAGTTTAATGAAAGGAATAACATACAAGGGTGATAAAAAATTTCGCGAACTAGTCGAATATCTTCCATAAAAGAAATAAAATTCGACTCCGATGTTTATTTTTTTTTTTAAAGTAGTCCTCTCTTATTTTAATGCACATCTGCCACCGTTCTGCCCATGCGCGAATAAAATGATCCAGGCGGTCACGTCAAATGCTCCATAGCGTTCTGTTCTTACAAGCTAAAAGATTTTTCCGAGTCTTATACCTCTTACCATGCAAGTTATTTCTTAAAACAAGAATAGTTCTTTTGTCACAAATAGCCAAACCTCGGCAATAGGATGGGTGGATAAGGATATCTTTTGTCAGAATGAGCATGGTGACCATTACAACCCGACTTCCATGTCTTAGGTGCCTCGTTCTTCCATTATGGTTAAAGTATGGGCGAATTCTTAATGTCATATCTGATATGTTTAAAGTCTTAAGTAAACGGTGTTTTAGGAATTAAATAATTATAATATTCTTAAGGAGGTTCGATCCTGAGCCTTTGAGCAGATTTTGGTCTGGACCTTTATTTCTAAAATTCTGCATCATTTTTAAGTTCTAACATTAAATCTGGATTCTACAATGCAAATTAAACTATATCCAATGAAAAAACTGTGATTAAATTGCATTCAAATAGGATTAAGCTAGGGACTATATTTTGTGGCGGAAGGTTTTTCTTTTAGAAGAAAATGATCAATTTTTCCCTTTTGAAGTATATACAGTACTGTTAAATTTAAATTCCTATTTTTCCATGCTGGTTGCACACAGAGCTGTTTTTTTTTTTTTTTTTTTTTTTTTTTTTTTTTTTTTTTGCAGTGAAATGTTTTATTCTGGTTCTGAAATATCTATTAAATTATTTCTCATGAATTCTTTCATTATATTGTGACAAATATAGTAAATATATTCTGAAAGTCCAGGAAAAAATTAAGCCAATTTTAACATAAAATTAACACTTTTTTAGTAATATCTAAAAATTTACATCATAGACCCCCACTTTTGTTTTTCTTTTCTGAATATATAAGATAACTTTGGTCAATCTGCTTAAATTCATCAAAAGTTTAAGACTTTAAAATAATTTTTTTGCTTGTTACATTTATAAAGCCAGAAAAATTACATTTTGTGAGTGCAGAAATGTCAAATAATTGATTATGCAAAGCAATTTGCAGCTTTTTCTTAGTCACAATTTTAATGTGTCTTTTTTTAAATAGACTAATAGTTTATTTTGTCCCATGATTTATTTGGATAAAAATGTTGGAGGGAAAATGTCGAAGATGTGATTTTTGATTAAGACACAAATTTCAGTGCAAAAAGGTCATATTAAATGTACTGTAGCGCCAAAAGAAGCATATTGACCCCCCATATTTTGTTTTGATTTTTAATTAAGCTATGTATATAGAAACTTAAAATATACTTGACAAAAAAGTTTAAGACTTTAAATATCAGGATCCAACCTCGTTAAGACATTCCACTATATTTTTAATTGTAAGTTGGCGATCTTTCATAACAATTTGCTCAATTAGGGACACATCTCATCTCTTCCTTTCAATAAGCACCAGAACAAACATCATTTTAAACCATCTTCCTTCCTTCACTAAAACAATCAATCCAATTAATGATTGAACTTCTGGTAAGTCTTCTGTCTTCATAAACCTTATACAAATTATTAAATGCTACTGCAAAAGAATTTTCAAGATATACGTTAAACTTTACAGCCTTTCGAGTACGGCTAAGTCAGCCATTTTTTGTCACAAGTCATCTACATACTGACATCATTTTCACATTGTGACGTCACAAACGTGGAGCAACACATAATATAAGATCTGATAAAAGATATTTATAGAACATATTTATGACTACATGTGTGCCAAATTTTATTCTGATCTGAATAGCAGTTTTGTAAATATAGAGATAGTTTGCGAACTTTTTGATTACCCCTTGTATTATTAGAGACACATTTTTACAAATAAACCTTTTTTTCGAGAAGCACGAATATTAAATTATCACTTTTTTATATACCTCAGGTTTTATATCCCTTGGAAAAAATGTAGCATTGCATTTGTTCTACAGCATTTGTAATTCATGGGAAGTCTCCAATTCTTCAGACAAGGAAGATATTGTGAAATGTTTCGTATTACCACTTATAATGTCTGTACTTCGGTGACTCAGTGTGGTAATATTACACAAGAATCGCTTTGAATAGTAGAATAAATGAAGTACAATAATTTTATTTAAGTAATTACTAGACAAATCATGGTTTATTTTAATGACAAATTTCCTACTGTTTGGCATTATAAGACTTTTATTCTGAAAATAGATGAAGTAATGTTAAAATGACATTATCCACGATGAAAAGAACGCATTTTCGTCGATTTCCAAGCCAGTACGCTTATTAAGACTTATCGAAAGAAAGTTTTTACAAAAGAGTTTATACATTGTATGACCCTACAATAAGAAATGAAAAGCAATTCCCCCATCAGTGTTTTTGAAGCTGAAACATTAATATAACTTTCCCCAAAATATCAATAGAC